ATAACTGGTGCACACAGGCATATCAGCTGTACAACACACATGCATATACCTGTTCACAAAATCCCTACCTAAACTTGATAACATAATAATAGAGGACTCTTAATCCAGGGAGGCAAGATATAACAAAATCCCATGGCTGGATGCTGAAGATGTGCATGCTCATTTTTCCCATCAGTGTTTTCAACAGTGGGGAGAGACAGCTGGTGGAGTAACTTGCCAAGGATCATAGTGAATCCTCCACCACCATCAATGTTTAGACCAAGCACAGGTATTATTTCTGACAAATGCATGCTCATTCATACAGGAAGCGAATAGGGAAGTCTTGTGGCCTTCAACCTGCAGAGAGACGCTTACAGGGGTCCTTTCTGCCTTTAAAAACTCCTCATCATCTTCCATTTCTCGAGATACCCTACCCTCATGAGAGCTGTGAGTATTAACTGATGTTGCAAGGACCATCTTTGGAGATGTCAAGACAATATAACAGTGAAGGGTCAGGAATGCCTTCATGGTCATACCTGGCTCTTTACACTAGCAGCTGGAGCTTAATTTTGTCATGACTCCTCTAGTCCAACGAGCAAAGGTAAAGACTAGAACTGAAGCAGAGACCAAGGGACATGAACCAAAGGCTGCTAATAGACAAAAAAAATCAGGAATTTGTCCAAAAGCCATATATTTCAACTGGACACTACTGGTTTAAACATAGGATCTGGTCTCAGAGAAGTCACACTCATGTTTGCAAGAGAGCAGCTGAGGGGTCCTGCCTGTCCCATAAATGATCAACCAGCATGAACTTGCATCCAGACCTAGTGGCCCTGATATGTCTGTTCATGGTCCAGAAGGGAAACTATTTTTTCACCTTCCCCCATTGTAAGCTATTCCTGCCAGCAGCCTCAAAGCTCCTGACGTATTATTAAAACAGCCTCAGAGAAAGTAAATATGACCAGTGGAAAACAAAAAATATCACCCAAATGTCTAAGGAAACCATGAGCAGAGGCACTGAGCTGCATCCAGCACAGATTTTTCAAAAGGACAAGGATTTTCATGGCTCAGTGTTCTAATTTGTTTGACTGTTTATTTCCAAGGAACACATCCAAGAGTGACAAGCTCCATTTATTTCAATGGGCAGCATATGCCAGCAACGTGAATGGCGTACGCTATAAAGGAGAATGGATGTTCTCGAGCATCCTAGAAAGCTGTCCTTTCGACAGACAGAGGACGTGCAGGTAATGGAAGTGCAGCTCTGCTCTGACAAGCAACACCATAAAAGCAGCATTGTGGGTTCTCATGTTTGATGTCTCCCCATGGCAGCTCTGTGAGATTTACTCAGGCTACAAGTGAAAAATGACTTTCCTAATACCCGGGCCAGTGCTGGAGAAAGCAGCTGGATTCTTTCATTATTCTACTTTCCCAGGCCAGAAGGACATCTCCTTGGGGCAAATGGACACTTCAGGGTGTTAGTGCTACAACCTTTTAAACTTTTAGGGGGTACACACCAACCCAGACTATTCTCACAAATGACATCACCTTCAAATCATCATGTGACATGAGTATGAGATGCCCACACAAATAAGTACCTCCTCTCACATGGCAGTACTGTTCTCAGTCCTGTCTCTTCCTACTATACCCTGAAGATAATCCTTTTCTGAATCTTGCCTTTCCATAGTCCAATCCCACTGGCCTCTGAAAAACTCTGAGTTGTGAGGCTCTGTCACAAATTCAGCACCACTTATGATTTGATATTGTCTGGTGGCCTGTGATGCTTTGCTGTAAGTCTCATAGCAGTGGGCAACTTTTATTTGCTATCATTAATGAATTAACTAGTATTAGCTCTATGCTAGGTCTTCTCTAGTGAACAGTCTGGTTCATAAAGTTTTACTGGGTTGTCAGCAAGCCCTGAAAGTCAAACAGAGTGATTTTCTTCTTGCTTTTCAATAAGATGGTCCCTACAAAGGTGGGATATGTCTTTATTGATATTGAATCTTTCTCCTGACACCTTTCATTCTTGTTAGACTTAAGAAGTTGCTGGGAAGGAACAGGTGAGCTGCAATGCCATCCACAGGAAACCACTTCCACTTCTCCTATACCTCCAGCCTTGGGAGTATTGTCTCAAGCCAAGTAAAGAGAAAGAGATGCTCATGGCTCCCTTCACAGCCCTCCAGCGCAGCAAATTATAATCCCATCTTCTCCTCCATGAGATGGCTGTCCACCTGTGCTTCAAGGCTCATGGTCATGGATTTAGACTGCGGTAAGGCCGCAGCCATACAATATCCCTGGATGTCTGTACAAACTGGAGACCCCTGTTGGGCCTCTGTTTTTCTTATTCACTTTTTCTTCATTGCGTGCAGCTTGTAGGTTGCAGTTTGACCTTTTACAGAGAAGCCAAACCAATGCTACTCCTGCCATTGAGGTCATCTTTGATACAGTTTGGGAATCTCAGCTTGTCTTGATGCCAGTAAGGTACTTCCTTAGTGAAGACCATAGACTTGCACTGGCCATGCCTATATTGGGGGATGCAAATCATAAGGTGGCCTTTCATCTATGCAGCTTTCTTTGGGACCATACTGATTCCCAACATGCAGGTCTCCACTTGTTGCAAGCTATTTCCTAAGGAAAAGACACAAAAAGCTTGAGGAAGAGCTTTAGTCATCCCTCCTTTGTCAAAGTGGAACTTCTAGTTTCCATCAATTGCACTTTTAACCCTTAATATCTGATTGTTTCTGGTGACTTCCACACCTGGGCCAGTTGGCCCTGTGAATGTTAAGCTCTTGAAACCAGCTTCTTCCTCCAGCTTGAGTGACGAGAGGCAGGAAAGCTCTGCGCTGGGAGAATTTGGCTCTGCTTCTGGGCCTTGGGGTTTTGTATGCTCAGACAAGAGACAGGCTGTCAGCTCCAGCATTTCTGACTGGCTTTTTAAGGCTAAAGATACAGAGACCACCCTGAGTCTTGCAGCTGATGGGAGATTTGCAGTATCACAACAGGGAGGTTTGGGTAGACATCCCAGGTCAGGGGTAGACATGCCCAGGCCAAGGTGGGAGCCTCTAGATTTAACCCATCTGGGAGCAGAGCAGTGGTGGAATCACATCCCAGTGACAGTAACCGGTGCTTTATGAGGTGTCAGAAATGTGCATCATAGCTGAAGGGCATTGAAAAGCAACTCTTTGGTCTTTTCCTGGAAATTAAAAGTAAAAAGCAAGCCACATGATGAGAGCATCTGTAGCAGAGAGCAGGCTGGCTCACATGAATTAGCAGCTTCCTGGCTGTTACCTATAGCAGCCGTAGCCAGCTACTTATTCCATCACCTGCAGCTTCTGTGGGTCGAGACCTCAGACTTACACCTTGAGAAGTACTGGAAGTGCCCCCAGCACTGAGCTGTGGTCAAATAAGAGCTGAAGAAGGCCTCCTTCACAGTTTTCTCATTGAAGTGTGGGATGGTCATTTGATGGAATGCGACCTTGGGCCTTGCACTGTGGAGCACAATGACCTTGAACTGCTCAGATCCTGATCTCCAAAGAGCACCTGTGAAAGTTACCAGAAACCTGGGCTTAATGGAGATGTGTCCCAGCCTCAGTGATTTGCATCTGAATGTTCCTGGCAGTCCCATTGTGGCCAAGGATAATTTGGCCAAGCACTTACACAAGCAGTGGGATCATGCTGGATATCTATGAAACCAGTGCCAGTATGTGGGGTCAGAGCATGTACACAAGTGACAGCCTCCTGCTGCCTTGGAGACTTGTTATAGGAAGGGTAAGGGAGATAAATTGCTAAATTTCCCTCGGAGAAATGTTCACGAGGATCCCCTTTCAGTCATTTCTTTTCCTAGAGGGCCAGGTGACATGCAGGGAGATTGTATTCTTTGCTAGGGTATCTACCATTTTCAAAAAAATAGACAAACCCCCCAAATTATTCAGGCATGCTACTCATTCTCATTAAGGTCCTGTAAATCATAATAAGTGCAGAAGCTCTCCCCATTTGGAGATCTCCCAGCCTGTTGCATATGGGTGAACTGCAGGGATCCCTGCAAGTGTTTTCCTGCCGCCTCACCCCCACCCATCCTGCTGATGGGACCTGGAATGACCCATTGAGCTGCTGGTGAGCAGCAAGACCAGTTCTGCTCTGTCTCACTCACCCTCCTGCTGCCCCTTTATGCAGGCTCTGAAGGGTGCCTACCAACTCAAGCTCCTGTCACAGAAAAATCCCAACAGAAGACGACTATTACACCAAGAAAAGTGGCTACGGCCCCCATTTGAAGGGATCTGCAGAGAGGGTGATGAGGATCAGAGTGGAGAAGGTGTTGCCATCTGGGAGGGACTGGGGCAAGACGGTAGCAAGAGGAGTCACTTTGGTCACAGGCATCCCCTGGCTCTGGCGTGCAGGCCCTGGCTCCATCCAGCCTCTTGTGAGCAGAAAAGCCACAGACTCATGGCTGGCTCCCTCGCCTCATTGTCTGTGCACTGGAGCAGGGAGGGCAGAAGGCAAAGGGACCAGGGGGGCCTTTCTGCCCCCCCTGGCTCTGACAGGTCCATGACTGCCACAGATCGGGATTGGGGGTGGGTGGGAGACAGGACATGGGGACCACCAAAACAAATGAACTAAAAAAACAGTCTGATGATTCTCCACATGCTTGGTGTACATGATGCAAATTGATGTTTAAAGCTTATTTATTATCTTACATGCGAAATGCCAGCGGTGTTTTTCTAGATCAGTGGGTATCCGATATTTGGTCGGCGGGGAGACGACGGCAGTGGGAGCGAGCATGTCTAGAGACTGTATATCCAGAGGCTAGGGTTTATATCATGGGCTGCTCTCGACTGTTATAATTTGTGGCACAGATTCAGCGAGAATCTGATCTGCTGAAAATATTTGGGCTGTGAAAACTCCCACACTGTGACAGATGTCAAGTCCAATTAAGTGACTCGTGTCCAGGTTTCTGTCCAATAGGCTTTCCCATTAAATACCAATTTAAGAGGGAAAAAATGCCGCCCCCTTTTCTCCGAGCCTTTATCTCTTCCGACCATCTCTAGGCGAAACCTTTTGGTACAAGAAGGGGATCCACACTCATCTCCGCTCTATCTGTCTATCTGTCTCGCCGTTGCCACCTTCCGCACCCCTCCTTGGCTTCTTTGCCACTCCGGGAGGGGTGGGAGGAGGAACTGCACTTTCTTTTTGTGCTTGTGAGCGTACCTTTTCCTGCGCCGCCGTTATCTCTCGCAGCCGCTCCGAACCCGCGCCGAGATTTTCGTTTATTTTGTTTTGCTTTTCTTTTTCAGCGTTCGCATATTTTCCTTTATCCTTACTCGAAAGATGCAGGAGGAGTTAGGAAGCTCAGGGACGAATGGGGGTTTCGTTTATCCTTTTTTTTCCTCCCTTCGCCAGTTCTTGAAGGACTAGAAGAAAAACTAAACCAAACATTCATTTTCCGACGGCGTCTCTCCCCTCCTCCTGCCCCTCTCTGCCGGACCGGTGAATTAACAAAACCGCAGGTTAAAACCCCATCAAGAAAAAAAAAAAAAAAAAAAAAAAGATAATAGAGAAGAAAGGAGGGAGCGACGCATTGTTACCCCGACCCGCGGCGTGCCTGCGCGCCGGGCCGCGGCGGAACAAAGCGGCAGCGCCGCACCGGGCTCCGCGCCCCGGGCTCCGCGTCCGGCCCGGCCCGGCAGCGGCGCGGCCGCCGCTGGAAAAGAGAGGCCGAGGGGACGGGAGACAGGGAATAATCCCGAACGGTGCCGGTGCTGTCGCAGCATCCCTTTTGTTATTTATCGCGACCGGGGAAGAGGAGGAAGAAAAGCGGGGGAGACGGCACTTTTCCCCCTGTAAAACCGACTGGGCGCAGCCTCCGGGGCGCTTCATCCCGCTACCCCGAATAAACGGGCGGAGGAGGACTTTGATGGGGGAAACGCTTTTTCCTCCCCTGATGCATCGTAAGTAACTTAAGTTGTTATTCGTACTCCGCAAACAAACACGGTGATTACATCTCCTATCTCTGGAGCGCTGGAGGCCGCGGCAAGGGATGAGATCTGCCTTTACCCATCCGAGCAGGACACTTTTCCGCTCGTAATTAATTTGATTTGATTTTGATTTTTTAATTTTTCCATGCTCCGCTCCCGGAGGGTCATTTGAACTGTAAAGGAATCGCCGAGGGGGCGAGGGGACCTGGAGAGAGAGGCTGTCCAAACGACTCCACCGAGGTAAGCAGCCTTAATAATATCTCCCTTTTGCAGGTAGCACGGGGGATGGATTTACTGTAATAACAACAACAAAAAAAAATAGAGACGGGGACAAAAAGTCTCTTTCTGGATCAACTCTCTAAAACCCACCATACGGATAAAAACACAAACCAAAGAGAAAAAATCAACTCACACTGCAGAGAAACCTCTAAGCAACTTTCTTCAGGAAGCACCTCTTTAATTGCCCGTTTTCGTACAACCGCGCTGCAAATCCTCCCTCTCTAGTGTGCTTTCGCATGAGCCCCCTCGCTTGAATCCCAGCTGAAAGGTGATTTTAAACCTTTCTTATGCATCTTTTTGCCCCACGAGATCGCTGATACCTGACCTGCGCGCTAGCCGGGATTTTTCCCTGCCCCTGCCTTGTGGGCCTGATTAACGCTCCTTATTAAAAATCGAAGAGGAAGCGTTTCCGACGGCCCTGGCAAGAGGCGGCCCTTTCCCAGGGAAGGAAGCGCTCTCCTCTCGCCCTCCCCAGTCTTGGCCCCCTGCGCACCCCGGGGAGTGCCGAGCCCCGGCCCCCGTTGGAGCCCCGCTGGCCCGCCACGCGTGCCCCGCTTCTCGTCCCGTGGGGGGAGGCTTGGCTCTAGCCCTGCCTGGGAAGAATTCCTCCTGCCCGTATTATTATTATTATTATTATTATTATTATTATTATTATTATTATTATTATTATTATATTTTTCCCAACCGGGTCTGCTACCCGAGTGGGACTTTCCCTGGAAACTTTATGTGGAAATACTTGACAGTCTGAATTCGGGGGAAGGGAGGACGCGATGTTCCCTCCTCCCTCGGTCTCGCTCCCCACCTCACTCGACACCCCAGCCGTAAACACATATACACACATACACACGCACACACACATTTGTGTCCAAGGTTATTCACTAGTTGCCTGATGTATTGTTTTATTACATGCCGGCATGTCCACGGACGCACTCGGATTTGTATTGCTGTCTACATGACAGATGGTGCTCTGTGAGGCCGCAAGAAGATACGATTCAATTTTCTTTTGAAAGGCACGTTCGCGTTTATTTATTTATTTATTTAGCCTCCCCCCCTTTTCGCGCAGGGAGGGGAGAGGAGGGAAAATTTAAAAGGATGGAAAAGTTCTGCCGCAGCTTTGGGGTTTTGTTTCTTTTTGAATCCCACGCTTAGAAAACCGAGATTCTCCCAACATCCCCATTTGGTAACTGGCAAATCACTATATGCACAATGAGCAGCAGGAAAAGTAAAAAAAAAAAGAAAACAGGAGTCCAAAGAAAAGAGCGGAGGGGACAGCCCAGCAAATACATCAGATCCCGTAGGGACTGGGGAAATAAATCTCCCCACTGGCCTTGTTATGCATGAGGAACCTTGATCTGTGTATTTAAAAGCATCATGTCTGTAGCCTGGATCCCGTAGAGGGTTACCGAAAGAGAAGTGGTTAAGCAGAAATTGGTAGGCCAGAAAAGACTCTTAAAATTCGGGGTGGGGGACGGGAAATCGACATAATATTGAGCCACTGGATATTAGCTTGTTTGAAAAAAAAATATATTCCATTATTGCTCTCCGGGCCTGTTCCTACACCCAAGCAAGCGCCCGGAATAACGGCAGGGAGTATATTCCGCTGAAGCTGCCGTCAGACTCTAGAAAGGGAATGGTTAAATGAGGGAGCATCGTTTACCCCGATATTCCTCCCATTAGTACTCCTTGAAGGAGCCGCGACCCGCCCTCCCGCTGCCGGCCCGGCTCTCCCTAAGGCGGTACCGGCGCCGGGGGCAAGGCGCGGGGACCGGCAGGTCCCTTGTGTCCGTGTCCGTGTCCCTGCCCCGTGCCTTGCCCCTGTATCCCCGGTGTCCTGACCCGCTCTCTCCGCTTTCTCTGTCCCGGGAAGGCTCCTCCGCCCCCTCCAAGATGATGCTTAGCCCGGACCAAGCCGCCGACTCTGACCACCCCTCCTCGGCGCCCTCCGACCCGGAGTCCCTGGGCGGCGCGGACGCCCAGGCTCTCAGCTGCTGCGTGTCCGACCCGGAGCCCGCCGAGGGCGGCGGCGGCGGCGGCGAGGGCCGGGGCGGCGGCGGGGGTGTCGGCGGGGAGGGCCGTGGCGGGGGCCGGCCGGGCCTGCACCCGCCGCCGCTGAGCCGGGAGGAGAAGCGGCGGCGGCGCCGCGCCACGGCCAAGTACCGCTCGGCCCACGCCACGCGTGAGCGGATCCGCGTGGAGGCCTTCAACCTGGCCTTCGCCGAGCTGCGCAAGCTGCTGCCCACCCTGCCCCCCGACAAGAAGCTCTCCAAGATCGAGATCCTGCGCCTCGCCATCTGCTACATCTCCTATCTCAACCACGTGCTGGACGTGTAGCGCCCGGCGGGCGCCCGGAGCCCCGGGACACCCCCCGCCCGCCGCCCCGGCTCCGGCCGCGGCGGGCAGCGCCTTCCCCGGGGCGGGCGGCGGGGCGGGGGGGTCCCCACTGCCTGCCCTCCCTCCCCGGGGGTGCTCCCGCCCGGCCGAAAGCCCGCTTTTCGAAGAGAAGTGTAAAACCGGATTGTTTCTTCAGGCTGTCAAGTGCCCCTTTATATATATCCAAAAACATCTACTTGTGACCTTAAACGTGTGACCCATGGGTGCAGTTAAAAATAACTATTTTTTATTTATGGTAGAAGGAGTTGACAATTTATTTTTTTCAAGATTTATTTATTTTTCAGAGTGGTGGCAATTTTACTTTGGATACTTCGTGCCAATTGGTTTCTATAGTCGGGTGTTTACACTTTCTTCTGTGGAATATTATGTTTGACTTTATGAGTGTTTGTTGGGATCAATACAGTGGTCATTTTCTTTTCTTTTTAATTTATTTTTTTCCCTCCAATTATATTGCACTTGTGTACTACAAACCTCCCCTCCCCTCCTGTTTATAAGTATATTTTATATATATCAAGGCATTTGTTCTTGACCTTTTTTCTTTATTTTCTTGTGTGGGATTGACAACCACTAGCACTTAACTAGAAGAGTTTTTTTAAAAGATTTGTTGTTATTCTGATCTATAGTTCTGTCTGAAAAGTACTTTGCAAATCGCTTATAAGGGAAGTAGTTTCTTTGTGAGTGTATATGTGTGTGTGTGTATACATGCATGTGTGTGGGAGTGAGCGTGGGCGTGTATGTGTGTGGTATATTTTTAGGAAAGGACATTTTTTCCTAAAAAAAAAAGAAAAAAAAAAGAAAGAAAAGTAAATCCAGGACTGCTTTCCTTTGTGACAACCAAAAAAAAAAAATCTATAACCTGAAAATGTTTCATGTTCTTTGCTGTGAATCTCTTAAAACAAGAAGCGCATTCTAGGGACAAAAGAGAAAAAGAAAAAACACATCTGCTATCCAAAGATTTTAGTCTTTTTCAGGGTTTTTTTGTGTGTCTCTGTTGCTTTATATAATGCAATATTTTGTAGTGAAAATAGATAAATCTGGTTTCTATCTGATGCGTTTTTCATATCTCTCATGAATGGTGAGCTGTTTTGCATATAAATAAAAGTATCAAATAAAAGCTGTTTTTTCCTAATTATTTTTCCCGTTGGTCTTTCTGTAAGACAGAGATGTGGTGCCCTTATGAATAAGGATTGCACAGGCTTCTCAAGTCGTGAGTGAGAAAGCTTCAACAGGTTACCTGCCTCTTCCTAGGGAGACTGGACTGGAGTCCTTCCCCCACATCTCCCTTGCTCCAGCCACTCTCAGCTGCCTGCCCTGCCAGAAATGCAGAGGAGACACAGGACCCTCGCTGTCACTTTTTCCCAGTCACATCTTGACTGGCATCTGGTCATACATTTCAAAGTTCAGGCTGTACAATCCAATCTGATGCTTGCAAGCACCTGTTTTACCACCTTGCTCTTTGATATGTCTGACTTTGCCACCCAAATGTACATGTTTCATCCTGCCTGAATGCACTGGATTTTCTTGCTCTTGTTTAAATTCAGCTTTAATCCCTCTCTGGCCAGGTCTAATTCTACTGAAACCAAGGAAAAATCTTGAGCCCTTTCCCTACTTTAGAAAACCTCAACCATACCCTTTTATATAAGGCTTCAATGCCAAATCTTGTCATTTGAAACACAGAACAGATACAGACTCAGTGGCAGACAGGGTACTACCTGAGTAATGTGAGATCTGTATACCATCCCATTTATTAAATCCTTTTCTTGTTTTCCACGAGAGGTTAATTTTACCTATAATTTGAATATTGCCATTGACTCTGGAGGCTGCATCATCCATTGTTACTTGCTTTACCCTCCCCCCATCCTATTTTTATGGCTGACACTTTGCACAGCAGTTTAATTAAGTGTGGTCTTGACCAATTGAAAAGCTCCATGCAGAAAACCTGTCAGAGACGCTGCTAATTCCACTTTCTACCAAGTGGCATGCTTGCCACGTCCCAAAGGAGCACACATTGGTTTGGTAGTTCAATGCACAGTTTTCAAGTCCTGCATCTTTTGGGGCTGAAATAACTCCACCAACTTTGGAGCTGGTTTCCTTTGGGACAGGCTTGTTTCTTAGGTTCAATATCTGGCACTGTGTAGACTTTGATGGCAATTGCCTGAGCAATATTATAAATCTTGCTATCCAGCAAGCTTTCATGCTACCAGCATTTGTGAGGACCTAGTTAATAAAAAGATAACCATATTATTTCCTTCTTGACAGTGAGGAACGCATGTTTTAGGGAAGAGAGTGCTCTACAATACCTGACTGTGAAATATGGTGGCTGCAGTCACTGGCAGTTGATTCAAGCACACTGGTTGTGGGATAAGTAGGTGTCTGAACCCCACATTCCCCCTGGCCTCACTTCCCTCTCTGGGGGTCTTGCACATGTGTCAGGGCTGAGATAATGCTCAAGCAAGCTCCATGCAGTGAAGGTGTTGCGGATCAAGAAGCACTTACTAGCCCAGGGTCTCAAGATCCCAGCCATGGGATGCCCAAGTGAGAAACCAGTGAGGCCCCAGTGTTGCGAGCACAGAAGTGTGCAATGTGGAGATGTGTGGGAACAGCTCAGATTTGGAAGTAAGAAAATCTTGGGGGTTGTTACATTTCTACCACCCCCTGAAACAACAGAGAGCCCGCTTGCACTCAGAGAGAGGGCAGGAAGGGCTTTGCTTTTGGTGGTATCCACATGATCAAGGTTCAAGTTTAACCTGCAGAAGGGTCAGGGCACCTGACCTGAAGATATGTCCTTTTCTTCCTAAGGAAGACATGATGGAAGACATCCATGATGGATGTCTTCCTACGATGGAAGATATTGCTTCTCCCTACAAGTCCTGTTTCACTTTCATATGCCCACCACCTTGTTTATATCCTCTCACCACCATAACACCATCCCAACCACTTCTTTTTTTCCTGCTGGCACCAAGAAGGAAATTCTTTGTCATCTAGCAGTTGATAAGTGTTGAAAACAGAATGTGGGTTTTGCTTTGCCATTCCACCCCTTTTGTTTATTCTTGGGAAAGAGCTGAGCAGTATGTACATGATACAAGGCCAATATAATTCAAAAGCTGCATGGCTGTGTTCAAAAGTCTGGATTTATGAAGAATGGGTAAACAACTTTAACCCCACCTCACTGCAAGTCTGAGTTAGATGGCAATGAAGTCTAATTATACAATCAAAGTTACTTTGCCTATATCTATGGTTCCCTCATCAATAAAGGAATGAATAAACTTGAATGACAATAGGAGGAATGGGGTGGAACTGCTCAGTGGAAGTTTGTATCATGTGTGGCCAATCCAACAACTGGCAGGGAAGAGACACAGTTAATATTTCCTATTTTTTAAATTACATTCAGATACCTTTCTTTCACAACTAAGGAGGAGGTCATCCTACAAACCATGAAAGTGCACTCAAAGACAGAGAAGGCAGAGCACTACCTCTGGACCTTTAGCTACCTCTAACAGAGGTACCTCTAACAGAGGTACTTTAGGCCTGACTCAATCCAATACATAAAACATTGCATGGAAACCTCCAGCATTCACAGAGAACAAGTACTTCCAATAGACAGATCTAGAATATCCCAGTACAAGGGATATCCAGTGCACCCTTAACACTAGGTGATAACACCTATTAAAACACATTTTCAGACCTATATGGACTCACAGGGACATAGGGCAAAATACACATTCACATTGGTATGATTAGGGCATCTAATGCATTCATCTGAACCCTGGAAACAGATCCTGATCCTGATACAGCAAATGAGGACAGACAGTAAGCCAAAAATAACTCCTACAAATGAACATACTGATTTCCATAGGACTGTACAGCTAAGGGGGGACTGTATCTGAGTATCATACACTTTCCTAAGAGATTAAAACACCTAAAGCACAAAATATTCCAAAATATGGGCTTGCATTTATGCTGCTATTACATATGCACATATAAAAGGAAGACTTTCTAGCCATAGACAGTGACTCACCAGCAAAGTGTATGGTACCCTGTGCATTCAAGATCACACTACTCCCCAGTCACAGAGTAGTGTCTTATTGCTTGTGTTAAAAAGTGGGTGAGTGAGATAGGATATTACCACTGCCACAGCAGATAAGTTCTGAGGGTCTTGGATGTGATTTGATCTATTTGCTGTATTTCTAGCAAAGAGTATGTGAGTATGTATGAGAGAGAGGTGGGGGGGTAGGGAGCTGAAGAGGATGTGGTATATGAAACTCAACAAAGAAATGGACCTTTTCCATTATATAGCTGTGAAGAAATACCAGCAACATTTTATCTATCTATTCACATATCTATCCATCTAGCCATCCTGTAACCCAATTAACCCAGTTCTTTTAGGGTGAATAGATGTGTTCTGATATTAGCCATTATTTTTCAGTACTCTCAGTTTATTCTCCAGGGTGGGACAGATCAATAAGCGCAGTAGCAACCGACCCAAAAGGAAAAGGCAATCTCCCGGTGCTTCTTATTTATTTCTTCAGAGCCGATTTCGTTTTTCCTGCCTCTTCCCCTGGTGACGGATTTTGCCTTTCCTGCCCAGAATGGCCGTGTTGTTTTATCCTGGGCTCTATTTGCATGTGAGCTTCAGATTCATCTTTGGCTCCTTGCACGGTTTGGGATGAGACCCTCCTGTCCCCAGAGAGGGGGGCAGGTGTTGCTCCAGTCGAGCGAATGGAACCAAATTACAGGACCGTCTGTCGCCTCCTCTGGGAGCCGGCAGAGGGAGGGGAAGAAGGGGAGGGGAGCGGGTTGCAGTATGACAGAAAAGAAAAGCAGAACATCATACTGATGCCGATAAGAGCTTGAAAACACGAGTTACCCCAGCCCACAGCCCCACCCAAAACCAGGCAGCAGCCACCTGAAAGAGAAATATTAGGAGCAAAGACAGAAATAAATTGAGTCACTGGGCTGGAATAACTTGGGCTTAAAATGAAAGAGAGCTCAGACTCCGTCCCCTTTCAGACACACAAGCACAGTCACAAAGTTGGGCCAGCTAATGCAGCTTTTTTCTCAGCTCACTGCAGTGCTCTTTGATGCCACCTCCTCTGTCCCTTCAGAGCAGGCTTCTCTGCTCACCACTTCTCTCCACCAAGTCCACACGGCCCAGTTCTGTCAGCAGCTCCTGCTCCCCTCTCTCCAGCTACTCCTTCTGGCCTCCCCACAGCCAACCTGCCCTTCAAGGTCCCTGAGAGTGGGACGACTGCACAGAAGTCCTGCTCCTTTGCCACCACCAGCAGCCCATCCCCTGCAGTGCAGCCAGTTCTTGCTCCCACAGGGAGCTTCTTGGTGCTGCAGCTCAGGGGCATAGTGACAGGGATGGTGTCTTGCTTCTAATCTGTGCAGGCTTCTACCCAATTGACCTGAGAGAGCAGGTGATGTTACAGAAGTTACACCTCTCACCCATCCATTTGCTTAATGCATTCTTAGCAAATTAATACAGGATCCCCATCCACCACCCCCCCCCCCCCCCCCCCCCCCCCCCCCCCCCCCCCCCCCCCCCCCCCCCCCCCCCCCCCCCCCCCCGCTTGTTTTTGATGCTTTTTTTCTCCCAAACACACAAGCATGCACACACACATTGGGGTGTGAAATGATAGCTCTCAGACTGTTGGGGCACAGAGTCACTTGGAAAGCAACAGGTGACAGTTGTTCTGCTGTTCCTCACTGAAACATGAAGATGATCAGAGAAGAAAAAGCTTCTCTGCGGAGAATTCAGAGGAGATCTGGAAGAAGGGATGAAAAAAAGGTGTCATTAGACGTGCTTAAATCAAAGCAAAAGCAGTATGGAGTGAAAGAGAGAAAGGCAGAAGAAGCCGGGTCACATAGGTGGAGGGTCCACATCAGGCAGAGGCTGGGCACAGTATGAAGGATTTTGCATGAGGGTGGTGGGGTGTACATGTGAACCTGGGGAACACACAGAGGGAGCAATGAGGAAAGAAAAGCACCTGAGAAGACAGGCAGCAAACATGGGAAAAGATGGTAGCAGGAATTGTGAGGAAGGAGAAGGATATGAGTGGCTGGGTAGAGCTGCAGGTATGGGTGAATGGGGAGAATGTGCTCTGGCAAGTCAGAAGTAGCAGCTTG